GATTAAATTCCATAAGTACATATTAAACAATACTAAAATATTACTATACTAATAACGAAATAAAAATAAAGTTTTACAACTTTATTCATATTACTCATAAATCAAATATTTATTATTGATATTATTTGTTTAATACAATTCTGTTATGTAAATGAATTACAAACTATACCATATCTATACAGTATATGTTTACATACAAATTACTATAACAATAATACAAAAATTATACATGTGTATGTATACGTTTTTTTTAAACACAAAAATATATAAAAAATAATAAATCAAATCATCTTTGACTAAACGTATGAAAATAATAGCGCAGATTTTAAATACAATAATGAAACCATCAAATAAGAATATGAAACTGACAACTCTTATCGAAATAAAACACAAATGAAAACATAGTGCATAAACAAAAAGTGAGGCCAATGAGCATTACTAGGTTATAATTTGACCACGATTTTTGTCAAATTATAGCGATTAATGAAAAAAATATAGAGTTAACATCAATTACATTATCAATATTTACCGAATTGACGGACATATATACCATAAACGATTTTGGACCAAGTCTTACCACTCACGAACTGCAATTAAAATCTTTTGGGCCATAAGACGGGGGCACAACTTCTATGTGGAAGAAAATAGGTTATAGAATAATTTTTCCAACCAGACATAAAATGTAAACTGTCGTGTTAATCGGAATTTAGTATTTTGATGAAAAAATGGCTCGTTTTGACTATTTCCATAATGATTTTCGACAAAATAAGGCATCCAGAGCACTAGATATCGGGGGGCCACCATTTTGTCCGTCGGGGGAGGTGTACGTGAAGTGGGCTCAAGCATGCTCAAGATAGACCGTCAAAAGTCTGAACATTTTTATTTTGCAGCTTCTCTATATACTTCATAATTATGTATGCTTACCAAAACAAAGTTAAAATTCAATAATGAACGGCACGCTAGCCAACAAGCCTCACTTCAGTCTTTGCACAGAACGATTTCATACCGTATGAACACAAGAAAATTTTAACGTTACCCCATTTCTTTCCAACTTCGTGCGGGATTTCTCGCGTTCAAAATGCACGGAGCCACACCACAGGAGCACTAATTTTAATCTAAAATATGCCGCGCAAGTCTTACTTCACTTTCTGCACACAGCGCGCGGTAGGAATCACGAAAAAACTCGACATAATCGGTAATATAAAGGGACAAGTCATAAAACGCCATGAACAATAACAAGGAGCCGCCATTTGCAATGCGAACAACTGACATGCGCAAATCAATCGCGCGGGGCATACTGGGAATTTGAGAGGCGCCATCTTGCCAATTATTTTAACATTGAAATTTCCTAACCTTTTACAGTTTAAATTTAATAAATTTAATATTTATGACAG